GACTCAAACCCGACGCGGTTGGCGGTTCAAACGACCCTTCTATTGCGGAGGAACCCTCGTCACGTTAAAGAAAAACCAGCCCGCAAAAACTGCAAAATTAATGCAATACTCCCCTTTCTTTTATATTACATAAAATATCGGTTAAGAGCACAACTACCCATTTTACTTACGCCCAATACGTATTCTAATTCATTTCAAGCATATATTCTGATATATGTAAATCTTGATCGCCAAGCGAACGGGACTGTTCGCTAATGTCTGAGTTAGAGGGCATGGAATGCAAAAGAGGGTCGTTTTAAAAAAAATGTCGATGTCAGAGTAGGAGAGTAGGGGTCGTAGAGAGGGAGAGAGGGGGATGTGGTCGGACAAGGGTGATACCCCGTTCTTGTACTTAATAGCTGGGCGAAGTGGAGTGAATCGCTGGGCGAGGAGAGGGGAGGAGGGGAGGGGCCTCCCCTCGAGTTATTACTCGTCGGTTTGTTGCGTATCGGAGAAGGCAAGCGCGGCGGGGCTGCTCAATGGCTCCTAAATTGCGCCTATATTAAAATACGCCGTCTGCCCGTTGCTCCCGAGGCTGCCGTTGAGGCTGGAGCTCAGCCTGCTCAGCGAGGAGACTCCGCTGTCGGCCGACGTGTTGCTGGCAGTGGCCCAGTACGGCCTGAACGCCGACGTGTCCTTGCGGCGACCGTCCAGGGCCTCGTCGACGTCGTCCTCCCCGAGGCGCTGCAGGCGGCGCCACAGCTCGGTCAGGTCCTCGCGCCCGCAGTCTAGGGCCAGGTGCAGCTTGAGCGGGTTGGGGAACTCAAAGGTCCGTCCGCAGTGGTGGCACACGTATCGTTTCTCGCCTGGATGGACAAGACAATGTGAACTTTGAGCTTGACATGAATATTCTATATTCCGCGGCACACTGTGACAATTCAATTATTTTCACAGTGGCAATAACTTGCAAGAGTTACAAGAAATATTACAGGTCTTGCCAGCGTGTGGGTTAGCCTAGAGAGTCAGGTGGAGCCGGGCGACAAGGCAACCCGCACGCACGCCTACATGCGGCACAGTATAACTACAAAAGTATGCGGGGTTCGGCGGGGTTAATCATCCACCTGCTGTAAGGACTACCTACTACCCGTTTGCACACCTGGTACCAAACACTTGCCGTTTGGCCACTTGAGAAGGCAGGGGCACTGTGACGGTGACTGAGCTCACCTTGTATGTTGTGAGGGGCGAGGAACGGCAGGCGCAGGCACGCCAGGAGGTCGTCGGCGAACCACATGAGGAGGTCCTGCCCCCGGGACAGCGGTCGGAC